AGATAAAAAAAAATTTAAATGGTAAGCAGTGGAAACATATGTATTTATTTTTTATTCCAATTATTTATTTACTTATTAACGGTATTATTTTAATTTTGTTTTACAATTATGTCTTGAATAAACAAGATCAACATATGGTTTGACTGAACATTAATATGATTTATTTACACTAACTTTTCCTGGGGGGGCCACGACTTTTCTAGGGCTGGCCATGGCCACCCCTGGCCACCCCTTGGGGGCGCCCTTGCTGCACAGGCCTTTTGGCTTGCACTTTTCTTTACATGTTTTAAAACCTGCTGCCTCAGTTTCCCCATTGTTGGAAGCCGTGAGCGAACCCGTCCATGCAAAAAACAGCCTGGGAGGTTAAATCCGTACAGCTGTTCTTGAATTCGCTCTTGGCTGGCGTGTGAACGCCTGTGGTTGGGGGAAACTCTGATTTCCCTCATTTTCATTATCATTTAGCCACTAACAATGCCAGTTGGCTGCTTGAGCGGTGATGTGCAAAAAAGTAACAAGCGCCAATCCTTTACGGGAAACGGTTTCATCCACTGTAATGATGGCGGCATGGGTGCCTGCAGTCGTCACTGGTGTGCAGATTCACAACATTTTACCAGGCTGGCTCATGGCCCTCATTTTAATACCTGACTTTGGGTTTTAAACTTGAATGCTTTGTCTAATTCCTCTCCGGATCGTAACAGTTTGCCATGCGAGGAGATTAAGTCTGCAAGCATCAAACTATTCATGCCTAATTGAACGATGCTTTCACACACAACCTTTTGTCCTGCACTAAAGCACTTCCAATCATTTCACAACTCCAGCATCCTTCCCCATATCCAGCAGAGCTCTCCCTGGGCTTATCACTGTGTAATTGCTGTTGATTGGTGCATTATTGCTCTGGTTAATCTGCCTGTGGGTGGCTAATAAAGGAACTCCATCAGGCATGTTATCGGTCTAAGGCAGAAGGTGTCTGCCGAGCAAAACTGGAAGACAGGGCAGAAGAAAAGAAGATGTGGGTAGGTATTTTTTAGAAAGGGATGTGAAAGTAGGTTTGATTCATGATGAATGAAGCAGTTGGACCGATAAGCTGGGAAAATGAAATGAAAAGCCTTGCTGTTGCTGGGATGTTTGCTCAGATGACGCGGAGGGAAAATAAGGACAGATCAGCCAGCTGGATGTTGTGTTGAAGTTGTGAGCCTGATGTGGTTCCCAGAGGAATCCTCTTATGATCGATGAGGCCTTGTTCTTATTCCTCAGTTCTATTTCCAAACACAAGCTGGAGGAGGAAGAGGTTGCTGCAACAAGGTGATTAGATTAGTTTCCATCACCGCGGCAGCCTGAGACAGGCCTCACCCACAGCAGAAACCTCCTCAGCCCCAATGCCCTGAGCAATAACAACATGTGGGCAACTGACCCTGCGGTGTGAGAGGGAGCGCTAACGTGGCTAACTGATGTTTCTGTATTCCGCTGGGGGCTAGCGTGATTGTAAGAACGCACACAAGAGACGTTGCTGCAGGCTAGAGGACGAGATCTTCTGTAACAGCGACAGGAAGAAGTTGGGTTTCTAATGAAACCCAATCTGTCTTTGGAAACATTTCATCCTGACATGATCACTCGCCGGAGCACGTAATCACATTTTATGGGAGGCTTTGTTATTTTTTAAGTCAAAGGTCGTGGTGCAAATGTTGGGACAATAACCTGCTGGAGTTAGGTACATCATGGAGGTGTCAGGGAACACTTTAATTTACTGCTGACGTAAAGCTGATCATTAATTTTAGGCATGAAATAAAAGGCTTGTTGATGTGAAATCAGTTTTTTAAAGTTGTTTTCTTCAGCTTTACAAAGCAGCTGTGCTTAATAGCAAAAATAAATAAATAACAATTTTGAGTACCTGTCCACTGTAGTGACCATTATGCATCAAAGGGTTAATATGCTTTGATTCAATAGATAACAGAATAGTATAGGCTCCACTACAGAACAAAGTCATTAACAAAACCAAACAAAGCATAATGTGCTTAACAGTTTGTATTACTTTTCTGAACACATTGTTTCTTGTAAACACTGATAAATCAATCATTCCTTTCAATAAACGTTTGACACATAAAAAATACACTGAGCAAAATGTACTTAAATGTGTATATTACTATTACTTTATACTAGATTATTTACTGTAAAGGCTGTGATTAATCAACCAGTCCTATCTTTAATGAACTTTCGACACTTGAAAATAAAACAGTGAGCTGAGCAAAATGTTCTTAAAAGTGTGTTACTTTTTCTGTACTAATTATTTCCTGTCTTAATATCAGTAAACTTTTCACTCATGAAAAAAAATGTGAGCAAAATGTAGGCTATAAACAAGTAATAAATAAAGTTTTAACCCCTTAAAGTGGAGAGGTCCTGGCGACCCACTGAGAGGCTTTGGCGCCCCCTTGTGGGGGTCGGGACACCCAGGTTAGGAACCACTGTCCTTGGCAATCGGGGCGGGGCCAAGACATCAAGGCAAGGTTCCTCTGCATTGAGATACACCCAATGTGACCAAAGGGACATGGTAATTCAAGGTGTTTCCACTATTTAGCATCACAGATGTCTACAATCTTGTTGATAAACAGGGTTCCAGGTAGTGACTGTGTTGTTTTGCAACATGGTATCCCAGAATGTCACCAAATCCTGTTTCCTCCAGCGAGAGCAGCCATCTACGGCGCTCATCTACTGTACAGTCACAGGTGGGAGGGAGATCTTGGGAGAAGCAAAGAGTCTCCACACGGATGGTGCTTTCCGTGGGTGCGGGTCGCCCTCCAATCTCTCCCGTCCTCCCAAATTCCCAGAGAACCAGATATCCTCCCAGTCCAATCAGGAGAAATCCAGTGATCATCAGACCAAATATCCACACGTCTTCGATGTCCTCAATGAACAGCTGGGAGAGGAATATGATCTTCCACTCTTTCCAGGAATCCAACATATATCCCACCGGGTATGTCCCCTGTGGACACGTGGGAGCCCCCTGCTCCGTTCTCATTGTTGAAAAAATCTTATCGATCGCATTGAATGACCAGTTTATCAAATCCATGGTTAGTAAAAAAAATAGAGTTTTTCAGAAGAAATGCAGAGAAGTGCTTAGGGGGCAGACAGGACAAAGAGCCTTGGGAAAATAAAACGAAGGGAGCGAAAGAGGGAAGCGTCTGCACTCCTCGAGTGCCTGAAGTAAAGTCATCAGTTTTATCCTGGTCTGTTCAACGAATTCCATCCATCCATTTTCATCCGCTTTTCTGAGGTTGGGTCACGGTGGTGGCAGCCTAAGCAGAGAGGCCCAGACATCCCTCTCCCCAGCCACTTGGGCCAGCTCCTCCAGGAAAATCCCACGGTGTTCTCTGGCCAGCTGAGAGACATAGTCCTTCCAGCATGTCCTGGGTCTCCTCCCGTTTGGACTTGCCGGAAAATCTCACCAGGGAGGCATGCAAGAGACGTCCTAACCAGACGCCCGTGCAACCTCAGGTTGGTCCTCTCAATCCATGAGTTTATTTTTTAAATAATTCAGCTGAAGCATGGTTGAAAAGCAATGACTTTCAATGGATACATTTCAAAGAGTTATTGTTTATGACTTTTGTCAGACTCAAGTTATTTCCGTGACCATTGTGGGTTTTTCTCTCATTGACCGAAGAGTACCGACAATCTTGTCCACACCTGTATAGTGATGTGAATACAGAACCCCAACCGACACAAACAAAACATTCTTTTTTAAATAACTAATAGTTCAAAACTAAAAAAAGTACAAATCTAAGTGATGGATGCTTAAAAAAACATCAAAAATTAGAAACTTGTCACGATAGATAGATAGATAGATAGATAGATAGATAGATAGATAGATAGATAGATAGATAGATAGATAGATAGATAGATAGATAGATAGATAGATAGATAGATAGATAGATAGATAGATAGATAGATAGATAGATAGATAGATAGATAGATAGATAGATAGATAGATAGACGGACGGACGGACGGACGGACGGACGGACGGACGGACGGACGGACGGACGGACGGACGGACGGACGGACGGACGGACGGACGGACAGATAGATAGATAGATAGATAGATAGATAGATAGATAGATAGATAGATAGATAGATAGATAGATAGATAGATAGATAGATAGATAGATGGATAGATAGATAGATAGATAGATAGATAGATAGATAGATAGATAGATAGATAGATAGATAGATAGATAGATAGACAGACAGACAGACAGACAGAGACCAGGTCAGGTTGTGATGTTTTCTAGCAAGTAGCTACATTATTGTTGCTGGAAAGATGAAACCCAAGGCCTTCTTCTCTGTTTAATGTAGTAACCCTAAAAGCATACAAGCGAGGGAAAGAACATCTTGTAGAAAATCTGGAATAATAATCTGAGTTTGTGCTGGGTGTAAATTAGAACAATGAAAAAGTGGAACTACTAAACTGAATCTATAATTCAATATTTAGCTTTTGTAAGTTGAACTGGTTTAATCAGGGTTGGGAAATCTGACGTTTGGAAACATGCATTGTTAGTCACAGTACAACGGTTGAGCCATCCGAGCGAGGAGGCGAGTTTTAAGTCACGAGTGACCCAGTTCATGTTGCAGGTTCTAGATTGGCCACGAGGTGGCACCAAATCCTCTTTAGACCATTGGTTTGAACTTCAAATAAATCTACATTAAATTGATCCTTGAACCGACATGAGGCTGTCATTAAAACATTTTATTATTGCTGCTGCTTTTGGGTGTAAAATCCCAAACATGCGTTAAAACAAATTAACTGAGTCTTGCGCTCCTAGTGATTTGGAAACTACATTTCCCGTCATTGCCTTCGGTTTGAAACAGTTCGGTACTCTCTCATTTTAAATTAGTCACCATCTGACGAAAATCAGAGGTTTTTTATTACTAAAACGAGAACTCTGCGGGTTTCCTCCTGACCACTGCATCCTGCCGTAAACGTGACATCCAACACGCCGCAGCGTCATCCTCATTAGGATGTACGCATGCGCACTGAAACGGGCTGCCTTTAAATACCCGGAGACCTCCATTCAGATCAGCTGCACTTGTGCGGAAGAGTAGAGGAGCTGTGACATTCCAGTCCGGGTTTTCACCTGTTTTTAACTAAAACCGTGAAGGTAAGGCAAAAAATAACAATAATCTGGCTGAAACCTCGCAGAATTTATCCTAAAGCGCTCAGGTGATTTTATTTTGGAGTCGAATTTTAATTAAGCTAACGATTCGTCTATATATTATGTGCTGCTGTGTTAATAAGATTTAGACCTGCAGTGTTTCTGATTGTTATTTAACAGCTGATATTTTATTTAATGAAGTTATTGGTGAAAATAGGACTTTCACACGGACATATGATGGTTTGAGTTCGTCTTGACTGCAGCAGATCTGTTGTGAAATACGCAGTGGTCACGCCTCCTCCTCCTCTGAATGCTAAAGCATCCTGATAAGGTTATAAATGACTCCGTTTTATTTCCAGCTGTTTTTCTGTTTCATTGAGCAGATCCCTTCGTGTTTTGGGTTAAATTCAGATTATGTTATGTGCTAAAAGAGGGACTCATGAGGCATCAAACTTCAGGGAACCCAAAGCTTGATGTGTGGACAAACATCACATTTTCTTGATGCTCCTCCTTAAAGCAGCTGGTACACGGATCAGTGTAGACTATGAAAACCTCTATACATCCAGCCATCCCGTGCCCTTGCAAAGAGTCCTCTCATGAAGGGCAAATCCATGGTGAGGTGCTGGAAATCTGCCAGCCCACTAGGAGGCGATGATTGGATAATAGGATTTTAGGTATAAAACCGCCCTGCTCTATCAAAGCTTGTTATGTGCAGGATTACAGCTCAGAGGTCTCCCCTCTGCATCTCCCTTCTACGTGCTTCACTCCACATCTTGGTGGAAAACCAGCCTAGTCACACAGATGATGTAATCATCTGAACACTCAGTCTGTCCAACCAGGGGAGGCACGGCAGTGAGTGATGTCAGCTAGGGGGTGGTCCGTGCTGCAGTCATTTCCCTGGCAATGGTTGCCATGGTGAGGGATGAAGAGAGACTGTGTGAAACCCCATCTGTTAACAGTTTCCTTGTTCAGACCAGAGTTGTAAAATATTTCACTCATGCAGATGTTATGCATCATAATCATTTGAGTCTGCTCACAGAGTCACACTTTTTTTTTATATACTTTTGGTGCCATTTTCCTTTCTGCATCCTTTCCTTCTTTGTTGTTTTGTCTCCTTTTATTTCCATCACTCTGTTTTGTGTCTGCAGATGTCCTCCAAGGATAAGCTCATCAGCCACGTGATGAAGGAGGAGCCTGTTGGCTGCAGGAACAAGGTGACGGTGGTCGGTGTGGGCATGGTGGGCATGGCCTCTGCCATCAGTATACTGCTCAAGGTGTGTAAAAAGAACTTGAAATATATTCATTTTTACCTGATGCATATACTTCATTTTTACCTGATGCATATACTATAAAACAGAATGGGGGAAATATAAATAAATACATTTAAAAATTTCAAAAACCTCAATCTTTTTAGCAATTTTCCTATATTTTCTAATTTAAAGATTTGATTATTGACTCCTATTTTCTAAATGAAAGACACAAACTAATTTTGTTCCTAACTGATTGCATCCTAAAACATTTAAATGAATTTTCTATGTATTTGTGAAAAAATAAGCTGATTTACCATGATTAAAACCAGGACCTGTGCGATGAGCTGGCCCTGGTTGATGTGATGGAGGACAAGCTGAAGGGTGAAGCCATGGACCTGCAGCATGGAGCCCTCTTTCTCAAGACGCACAAGATTGTGGCCGACAAAGGTGGGAGCTTTCAGAAATTATTTGGTGCTTAATTACTGTCAGCTGAATCCTAACTTGTCTTTTTTTTTAGATTACAGTGTGACCGCCAACTCCAAGGTGGTGGTGGTGACTGCTGGTGCTCGCCAGCAGGAGGGCGAGAGCCGTCTAAACCTGGTGCAGCGCAACGTTAACATCTTTAAGTTCATTATCCCCAACATCGTCAAATACAGCCCCAACTGCATCCTGTTGGTGGTTTCTAATCCAGGTTAGTCAGATTAGAGTGGTTTAACAAATCTGTGTGACGCTAACACTTGTTGTAAATTAAAGGTTGACAATGTTTTTCACTTCTTTTGCACCTTCCTAGTTGACATCCTGACCTATGTGGCGTGGAAGCTGAGCGGTTTCCCTCGTCACCGCGTCATCGGCTCTGGCACCAACCTGGATAGCGCTCGTTTCCGCCACCTGATGGGAGAGAAGTTCAGCCTGCACCCTTCAAGTTGCCATGGCTGGATCATCGGAGAGCACGGAGACTCCAGCGGTATGTGGCACTTTCTAAAAATAAAACCACTTCTCCCTCTTCGCTCTATAAATTGTTCCAGGCCAAGACCAGTCTTTAAAATCCAGAGCAGCCTCATGATTTCCATATTTCATGTTGTGTTTTTGCAGATGCAGCTTAATGGTGTCTCATTTTCACTTTTTATGCCTCTTAGTGGCTGTGTGGAGTGGTGTGAATGTTGCTGGAGTTTGTCTTCAGAACCTCAACCCAAAGATGGGGGCCGACGATGACGGTGAGAACTGGAAGGATGTGCACAAGCAGGTGGTTGATGGGTGAGTTCAGGTCGTTGATCAACCTTCCACAGGCCTAAATAAGACAACATTCAAAGTTTCTGTAAAAAAAAATAGTTTTTATGAATAGATCTGACATTTTTATTGTCAGACCGTTTTCATCCTCGGGTAAATGTTGAATAATTTCACATTCCTATTGTGCTTTTTCTCTCTTTGTTCCTTAATTTGCTCGTTACATTAAACCAAACTTTATTCTAAATTGCACCATGTTTGTTTCAGCTGCCTAACGTGACTTATCTTGCAAAAGCTAGAAGTGAGTCACAATAAATACAAAGAGAACTTATCAAAATTAAGATAGCTGTAGAACAAAAGTTTCATAAAGTACACAAATGGTGTTGCAACAAAAAGGTTTACTGCAAGAACAAATGGAACTGGAAATAAATTTTAAAAGTTTAAATTGATAATTCTACTCTTAAAGACCAAGTTCACTGAAATATGCTCGGTCACTCTGAGTTTAACATGCAGGCTTAAAGAGCAAGTCCCCCCCAAAACAACTATTTTTTTTCTTGCTGCAGACACGTGTAGTCAGTAGTTTTGCACTTTAGTGCATTTTAGTTAAAATTGTAATTTGCTGACTGTCAGTGTTGTGCCGTTGTCGGGTAAAAACTCTGCACTGCATTTGAATTTAAATCTGCCATCGCTATTGGCTAAGAGGTACCCTAGGGGGTGTGTGTGTGTGTGTGTGTGTGTGTGTGTGTGTGTGTGTGTGTGTGTGTGTGTGTGTGTGTGTGTGTGTGTGTGTGTGTGTGTGTGTGTGTGTGTGTGTGTGTGTGTGTGTGTGTGTGTGTGTGTGTGTGTGTGTGTGTGTGTGTGTGTGTGTGTGTGTGTGTGTGTGTGTGTGTGTGTGTGTGTGTGTGTGTGTGTGTGTGTGTGTGTGTGTGTGTGTGTGTGTGTGTGTGTGTGTGTGTGTGTGTGTGTGTGTGTGTGTGTGTGTGTGTGTGTGTGTGTGTGTGTGTGTGTGTGTGTGTGTGTGTGTGTGTGTGTGTGTGTGTGTGTGTGTGTGTGTGTGTGTGTGTGTGTGTGTGTGTGTGTGTGTGTGTGTGTGTGTGTGTGTGTGTGTGTGTGTGTGTGTGTGTGTGTGTGTGTGTGTGTGTGTGTGTGTGTGTGTGTGTGTGTGTGTGTGTGTGTGTGTGTGTGTGTGTGTGTGTGTGTGTGTGTGTGTGTGTGTGTGTGTGTGTGTGTGTGTGTGTGTGTGTGTGTGTGTGTGTGTGTGTGTGTGTGTGTGTGTGTGTGTGTGTGTGTGTGTGTGTGTGTGTGTGTGTGTGTGTGTGTGTGTGTGTGTGTGTGTGTGTGTGTGTGTGTGTGTGTGTGTGTGTGTGTGTGTGTGTGTGTGTGTGTGTGTGTGTGTGTGTGTGTGTGTGTGTGTGTGTGTGTGTGTGTGTGTGTGTGTGTGTGTGTGTGTGTGTGTGTGTGTGTGTGTGTGTGTGTGTGTGTGTGTGTGTGTGTGTGTGTGTGTGTGTGTGTGTGTGTGTGTGTGTGTGTGTGTGTGTGTGTGTGTGTGTGTGTGTGTGTGTGTGTGTGTGTGTGTGTGTGTGTGTGTGTGTGTGTGTGTGTGTGTGTGTGTGTGTGTGTGTGTGTGTGTGTGTGTGTGTGTGTGTGTGTGTGTGTGTGTGTGTGTGTGTGTGTGTGTGTGTGGCTCCGCCTTATCGGTCTGCCAGGTAACAGCATTTGTTGCATTTTTCAAACAGGAAGTAGGAATGGAGTAATAATCTGGTAGGGGGTGACTTGCTCTTTAATGTGAAAATAGTCTTCTACCCATGTTTCCTGCAATAGCTGCCAACAGAAAATAGTCGGATTAGAAAAATAAGTCGGTTGCAAGTCACACTGAAAATTAGCGTTCATGGACTCACCCATCTTGGCTCAGGACGAGGAAGGCTGTTGTTGATTTAGCATCCAGGAGAAGGCAGAGCGCATCTCGGCTAGTAGAAGCTAACATTAGCATTAGCAACTCCACAACACGACAGAACTCCTTCGGGCTTGTGTTATTTATGCAAACATCAACGTTGCAGAGCAAATAGGGTCAGTGGTAGAGTCAAGTTGCAGTTAGCCAATCAGAGGTGAGATGTCAGAATATCAGGAAATAAGACTCCAAATCCGGCTGTCTTCTGCTCTGGCTAACTAGTTCCAGGAGCAGGAGCACCAGAGCGTTTTTCCCCACATAGATTGACTCAGAAGGCATTAATTTATACCAGAGACCATTTTCATTGTTTGGGAAAACAACTTGGTCTTTAAATCCCGGATAGTATTACTAAACATCTAAATGGCAATGAATCAAGTAAAACCAATGTTTTTTTCTTTTTGATGAATGTCTGGATTTTCAGTATGGGGAGAAGAGCCAATGTTTGAGTAAAATGACCATCTTTCATTTTTAAATATAAACACCACAGGGCCTACGAAGTCATCAAGCTGAAGGGCTACACCTCCTGGGCCATCGGTATGTCTGTGGCTGACCTCGTTGAAAGCATCCTGAAGAACCTACACAAAGTTCACCCTGTGTCCACGCTTGTCCAGGTGTGAAGACTTGGTATAAGCAACACAACTGTGACCAATAGAGTTACTCGGCTGCTAATAGCTGTTGTCTTCTCGGCACAGGGCATGCACGGCGTGAAGGACGAGGTCTTCCTGAGCATCCCCTGCGTTCTGGGCAACAGCGGCCTGACGGATGTCATTCACATGACACTGAAACCCGAAGAGGAGAAGCAGCTGGTGAAGAGCGCTGAGACACTGTGGGGCGTACAGAAGGAGCTCACCCTGTGAAGAGCTCAACTTTGACCCCACCCTCCCCTCGTACAGTCCCGTCTGTGTCAGTGGGTGAATGAGACTTACGGATATTATAGAGAAGCCAAATGCTCGTAGCTAAACCGATCAAAGCTAGATATGAACACGTGGAGATCTTTCCCTGCCTGTCTTGGTCCATCTTAGTCTTTTGGGTCAGCCTGTTTTAAGAGTGTGCACATCTATGTATTCTCTCTGATGAATGTTCTCAAACATTAGATCTGTGCGTTGTCTGTTAAAGGTCTTGCTGCTTGTTCTGTACACCCTTTGTGTCATCTGTATTAATGATGTGGATTTTACCAGGTTTTTATTATTTCCCACCTGGTCATCTCTGTTCAAACGAAGCAGAGCAGAGACATTCCATTCTCTACAAGGATTAATAAAGTCACAACACTGCCACGTGTGTGCGGACGACCGAGTGACAGTTCGGTGACACCAAAGTATCTTCTCCCGCCGGTAAAGCGATGTTGCGTCAACTGCTTCAAACTGAAGCATTCTTAAGCAAACCTAACCACAAGTGCACTAATATATATGAGAGTAAATCAAAGTGGGCTGCCATTACCAGAAAGCTGATTTAGCATATTTAGCTAGCATCTTTACCAAGGATCAGGTTACAGGTCAACAGTGCTGAGGTGGTTATTTGTGCAACATGTTTAAATGTTTTTATTTAACTCCAGAGATAAATGATAGCATCATGTAAGAATGATAATGCAGTAAAAACATATATATTTTACAACATATGGATTTGCTGGATCACTTTAAGAGAAACTATATTTGTCATGGCAGCTGGGTGTTTTCATTTGCCGTAACCTCGAATAAATCTGCCAGAGAAATAATGGAATTCTGTCATTTGTGTCCTCTAGTTATAGACAAACGTGGAAGCTCAACGTGCAGAAAAACCAGGGCCATCATTTGACAACTTACTGAACATGGCCAAGGAAGCAGCACTGACTAGTGAGGCTTTTGGACAAAAGGAAGTCTTGTGTCACAGAAGTCACAACAGATAGACCCAAGTTGTTTTTCAATGAAATATAATATTTGTCATATTTTTATCTCAGGAAATAACATTACAGAACCAATGTTGGCCTAAAAATATGATCTATGTATCTATTTTCTTCCACAGGTGTCTCTAAATCTTATTTATCCTGCAGCTTCGTGCTGGGACATCCTCAATGAATTCCAAAAATGTCACGGAGCAGGAATATAATATGTATTAGCATCAATATCAGTATCAGCTGATTAGTCATTTTTTTACATACTGGTTTCTACTTAAAAAGAAAAACTGGGTCGATATTAACTGGTATTTATTTCCATAGATGCCGTTTGCACATCAGTTTCAGGAGGGGAAGAGGGGGTCATGCTGCATTTTATTGGTCATGTGACAGTAATCATCTCAAAAGTGTAAATGCATATTACATTCACCGGTCACTTTATTAGGTACACCTTGGGTTGGACCTCCTTTTGTCTTTAGAACTACCTTAATCCTTTGTGGCATTGATTTAACCCTTTGATGCATAATGGTCACTACAGTGGACAGGTACTCAAAATTGTTTTTTCTTTATTTTTGCTATTAAGCACAGCTGTTGAAGACTTTATTGCATGTGAGCCCCTCCATTTGGACTTCAGTAAGTCAAGCCACCATATTTCATGTTCAGAATGCACGCTGTCCACTGAGATGGACATGTAATAAATTATTTGTAAATTAACAAAATGGTACAAAAAATATTTGTTGAAATTTGTTTCATTCACACCTAAAGATGAATGAAAAAAATTGTTTAAAAAATCATGGTTGAAGATTTCATAATTCATGCATCAGAGGGTTAACAAGGTACGGGAAACATTTCTCAGAGATTTTGGTCCATACATGGGTGTAATTTAAATTTATTGGGGGGGGGGGGGGGGGGTGACAAAAGTGCAGGGGGCAAAAATTTACATTGGAAAAAGCCCCCTCCCTTAACAAACACACACACACTTTTTCCAAAGTCAATTTTGGTCTTCTGGACTTTTTACCGTCAAAAACCAAAATTACACTATATTAAATAGACTGGTTGAGCACTAGGACCAAGATCAGCTAGCATCTGATGTAAATGAGCTCTACTGATCAGATATTCAAAAGAAAAAGTGTAAAACTGTGACAACGAGAAGGAATGAAAATGACTAACAAGGTGGAAAACAAAGTTGAATTGAAAGTATTCGTTTTCTGTTTAACTGCCGCCTGTGTACTTTACAGCTCTGCCTTCCTGACATTGCATAAAAGAGCTTCTAGGCTGTAGTTTTATACATGATTTTGTATACTTACTGTAAAGACAGTGCTGAGTTGCCATTGTGTGATTGGCTGATTAGTAATTTGTGTTGCCAATGAGTGTATATATATATATATATATATATATATATATATATATATATATATATATATATATATATTATATCAGTGAATACATTATTTTAATTAGGATCCATTTCCAATTTGTTTGTGATCATAATGTTATGGATGACTGCTGTAAACCCAAGTTTTTATTATTTTTTGTTATTTTTTCTGTCCTGTCTGGCTGTGAAGCAAACAGAATTAATGTCTGAATGCTGGTGACAAGCCTTACAGATTTACTCTCAGGTGGAGCATCAAAGCATCTGCTTTTAATGTCACGCCTGATACTTAAAACTTTATTGTTATTGTTTTTTTAATGCTTTGTAATTTCGACCGGACACTGAGACAGAGGTGAAAGACAAAGGAAGAGACAAAAGGTGGGGAGTCCACAAAAATAAACAATCATTGATGAACAAGAGTCTGCTTCTAGACCTGCAGAAAAGGGACACACAACAATAAAACAGGAGCAAGCTATCACTGTGTCAACCTGATGAGGAAATATAAAATCAACATTGTTTTACTGAACAATCACATGATAATAAATCACAGTGCATTAAGTGCCAACCACAGCCTTAAGACATGTGTTGAACGTGCCCAAGTCCATACTTATGTGAGCACCATGTGAGCACCTGTGTGTGTACCCGCACTTGAATATGTAAGGTTTCTCTATAGGAGCGTCCAATAGAGAGTGTGAGGGGCCACAGATCTGCCCCCCAAAGATGTGTAGGAGATGGAGGGAGCTCCAAGTCTCAGAGATCCAGGAGCTGCCCCAGAGCACAGGGACCCCAAGGAGGCCGCAACCAGAAAAGCCCCTGCCCCCCTCGAGAGGCGCAGAGGATTGCCTCGGGGGGCCACAACCAGCAGCCAGCAGAGTCCTGGGAGATATCAGCGGCAAGCCCACAGGCCCGCCCGCAGCCTCCCACCCCCTAGCCAGCCAAGCCCGGGACCCAGCAACCCAGGACCCAGGGGCGACCACCCCCGCCAGGGACCCAGCAGAGCCCAGGGAACCAGATCCCACCAGGCAGCCACCAGGATCGATCAGGCAGACGCCAAAGATCTTGAACCCCCTGACCAGGGAGCCACGAACACTCAGGGCAGACCAAGGCACCACACCCCACACCAAGTGTGGCAGGGGGAGGGGAGACAAAGATGTATAGCATCAAAAGAAGTCCCAGGAGAAGTGAGGAGTCAAAGGCACCACCTGACCTATACAGTCATACACAGACACAGTCACACACACCCTCCCTCATGCTCACACATACACATACAACTAAAGACTTACAAAAATGCACGCCCGACACCCACTCATGCTCCCCATACACACCCTATTCACTCTGGTTCCGGTACTGCTGCACATGGGGTACAACCATTACCGGTTCCCAGAGTTTGACCCTTTCTGCTGGGGTGCTGATGAGCAGGCTACCCCACCCAACGCTGAGCAAAGCAAGCCACCACCCCAGACCCCAACCAGACAGCCAGATCTCCCTCCTAGCCTCCAGCCCCGGGAAGCCAATTGACAACAGAGGTGTGCTAAGACCCCTAGTCTCCCTACGCCTGCTCCAATATAGTGTTAGTGCGTGTTGATGAGGTGTATTCCATGACTGTGGTGAGCGGGTAGTGCGGGCATCGTCTGGCCTATGCCAGCTGATGCCACTACCCCACCCCATTTGCACCCACAGCCCTCTGTCTAAGTGCAGTTTAAAATTGGAAGTGGGCACCAGCACTCGGGATGAGGCTGAAAAATCCCCTTGCCAAATGCCGTTGAATGTGCTCACTCCCAAGGCCCTAAGTGAGTGTTTGTGTGGAATGCCGTTGGTGGAAGTGTTTAAGGTGCAAATAAAATTGGGGGGCAGGTTGCCACAGGAATGCGGAAATGGGGTTTATACCTGCACCCCCTGACTTGTCCACCCCCCAAGGTCCTACTGTATGTGCCTGTTTGTGTGATGATGTGAGGGAGCAGGAGGAAACAAATGTGTGGGGATGGGGAGGAATAGCTGGTTGGAATTAAGCCCTCCAGGGAGCCAGCTCCCCACTGGCCCCAATAGGCACCTCTGTTGCCAAAATGCCACCCAGGGCATGGAGACCCCAGCCCATCTAGCCAGGGCCCAAAGCAGCAGCATCACAGAGCCTCACAGAGTCCGAGGGCACCTACCCAGCGCCACCCCAGCAGAATATCTATGCCCATCCCTGCATTTGCACAACTTCCAGAAAATATAAGACATAGGGCATCCAGGTAAGGTTGAGTCCTCCCCCTCCTGGACTTCCCCCTCCCCTGTGATGGAACAGCAGAGGAGCCAAGGTCTACCCGAGGCCCCTGAGCCCGGACCAGGCACTGCCGCATGTTCCTGCCTTCTTCCCGGCAGCATACATGTCAGGACCCAACCCCCAAGGCCCCACCCAGGGCCCCACACGGGGCCAGCCACCCCCACACCCAGAGCCCCCAGGCCCCCACCCAGACCCGGTCAGGAGCAATGCAGCTGCCAGGCAGCGACCCATGGCCACCGCCAAGACCCCCAAGGGGCCCCACTCACAACCGCCAGTAGTCCACCCCCTGAGGCAACCCAAGCACCTCCAGAGGGGGGCAGCAGCCCCCCAGTCCCAGACACCCTCAATGAACCCACCTCCAGGGAACGTCCGGATACTCCAAACTCAGACCCTCCACCCCATCACCCACATCATCCCGCGGGACAATATCAATGACCCCCCCATCATCGCTATGTGATGGAACCGATCAAAGGAGCCCAAAGAGATTGATTTGAAGTGGAAGCAGAGGCTGTATCAAGTGTGTAGGGTTATACTACATACTAGAATCAACACTGTTTGCTATCAGTTGTTAATTCTGAGAATGACCAAGCAGATTAATCTATGAAGCTTATATCATGTATAAATATCCAGGATACCTATATAATCGGTCTAAGTTCATGCACCAACTTGTTTGGTCTATTCTTAATCCAAAGATTAATGTTTAATTTAAGGTAATTAAATTTAGTAGCAAAAAATTCTTTTTTGAATCAGAAGTTAGGAATCTTTGCTTTTTTCAATAACCATAAATAATTATACGTTTCTGTGTTTCATTTCAAAGAATGAGGCAAGTAAAAATGAAGAATTTATTACTAACAATTTTTAACAGCTTTGATATTAAACTTGTTTTAAAAGGCAAACTTGTGACTGGATGAAAGCTAAATTGGAAATACGAGTTTGGATGCGTGAATGGATTTCTCAGGTTTCTTTCAGAGAGAGGAACACGTTCTGGGTTGGAAATGATGGTTTTGCAGCTAACTGAGTTGTTTACTTAGAGAACAGTATCAAACACAATCTGTCGAAGTCTACCTCACCCAATCAGAAGACCCCCTTTTGGATCCAAAGTGTCAGCTGGAGATGGTTTCCTCCAGGCACGAGGTTGGTAGAAAAACCTCTGGCAAGACCAAATCGGTCCTGAGATGTCTCCTTGGGTCACTCAACTGGTGGAACTATTTGCGTCTCCAAGTCAATACTCTGAAGGAGTTTTTCGTCTTATCTTAACTCAAAAATCAATAACTCTGGAAGGAGTTTTTTCGTCAGCTGGTTACAGTTTACGTTTATTCGTAGCTGATCTTATCGGCGTGACAGAACAGCTTGGCAGAGGATCAGGGCGGCCGTTCCCGTCTCCTCAGGATGGTGTTGGTTCATGAACTGACGTGAAAGCTGATGAAAGTTAGTTTTACAAAGTCCTCAGAACACACCCACTCTCAGCAAGAAATATTCAGTCATGCGTCAAAAACGTGCTGGCAGTTACCCTTTACTCTGGATAAACTCTGTGTTAGATGGAAGTGGAAGCTGACCTTCTGATTTGCTGAGCGCACATTACTGACCATCAACCATAATCATAATTATACCCAAAGCATAATAATTCATTTCATGTAATTACAATACATTTGAACCAAGTGGTCATTTATGATGATTATAATAAACAGTAATAAGGTCAAAGAGTTTATTAATATTATTATTTAATTATTATCGTGAACTTAAAGTGTCCTTCTTCTGGGACGGAACAGCAGCAGATATGGTGATGTTCTTCCAGACATCTTGGCTCCTTGGTTAATCTGTGGACTTGAAAGTTACAGTCTGACCCAGCTTGACCTAGCTGGGAAAATGTGGCCTTTGTCACAATTATAGGATCTTCATGATGCTACAAGTGTAATATGATCTAACAAAAGATTTCTATACTGGTTAATGCAGAGTATCTCTATTTTTCAATTTCATGAGGATAGTTTTCTTAGCGATGCATATGGCAGTCAGAACCACGTGAACTAAAGATGTTTCAATCGGGACATCGTCCAGGTTTCCCAGTAAACAAAGAGAGGGGGAAATTGGGATATGACTTTCAGACACTGACAAGTCTTCATATACAGGTGCTGGCCAGTAAATTAGAATATCATCAAAAGGTTGAAAATATTTCAGTAATTCCATTCAAAACGTGAAACTTGTACATTATATTCATGCAATGCACACAGACCAATGTATTTCCAATGTTCATTACATTTAAATTTGATATTCATAAGTGACAACTAATGAAAACTCCAAATTTGGTATCTCAAAAAATTAGAATATTCTGAAAAGGCTGAATATAGAAGACACCTGCTGCCACTCTAATCAGCTGATTTACTCAAAACACCTGCAAAGGCCTTTAAAAGGTCCCTCAGTCTTGTTTTGAAGGCACCACAATCATGGGGAAGACTTCTGACTTAACAGCTGTCCAAAAGACAATCATTGACACCTTGCACAAGGAGGGCAAGACACAAAAGGTGATTGCTAAAGAAGCTGGCTGTTCGCAGAGCTCTGTGTCCAAGCACATTAACAGACAGGCGAAGGGACGGAAAAAATGTGGTAGAAAAAAGTGTACAAGCTCTAGGGATAACCGCACCCTGCAGAGAATTGTGACGACAAACCCATTCAAAAATGTGGGGGAGATCCACAAAGAGTGGACTGCAGCTGGAGTCAGCGCTTCAAGAACCACCACGAGGAGACTCATGAAAGACATGGGATTCAGGTGTCGCATTCCGTGTGTCAAGCCACTCTTGAACAAGAAACAGCGCAAGAAGCGTCTCGCCTGGGCCAAGGACAAAAAGGACTGGACTGATGCTGAGTGGTCCAAAGTTATGTTTTCTGATGAAAGCAAGTTCTGCATTTCCTTTGGAAATCAAGGACCCAGAGTCTGGAGGAAGAGCGGAGAAGCACAGAATCCACGTTGCATGAGGTCCAGTGTAAAGTTTCCACCGTCAGTGATGGTGTGGGGTGCCATGTCATCTGCCGGTGTTGGCCCACTCTGTTTCCTGAGGTCCAGGGTCAATGCAGCCGTCTACCAGGAAGTTTTAGAGCACTTCATGCTTCCTGCTGCTGACCAACTTTATGGGGATGCAGACTTCACCTTTCAACAGGACTTGGCACCTGCACACAGTGCCAAAACCACCAGCACCTGGTTCAAGGACCATGGTATCCCTGTCCTTGATTGGCCAGCAAACTCGCCTGACCTTAACCCCATAGAAAATCTATGGGGTATTGTGAAGCGGAGGATGCAATACGCTAGACCCAACAATGCAGAGGAGCTGAAGACGACTATCAGAGCAACCTGGGCTCTCATAACACCTGAGCAGTGCCACAGACTGATCGAGTCCATGCCACGCCGCATTACTGCAGTTATTGAGGCAAAAGGAGCCCCGACTAAGTATTGAGTGCTATACATGCACATTCTTTTCATGTTCATTCTTTTCAGTTGGCCAACATTAGAGAAACAAACATTTTTTCATTGGCCTTTAGAATATTCTAATTGTCTGAGATACCAGATTTGATGTTTTCATTGGTTGTCACCTATAAATATCAAAATTAAACGTAATAAACATCGGAAATACATTGGTCTGTGTGCATTGCATGAATATAATGTACAAGTTTCACGTTTTGAATGGAATTACTGAAATATTTTCAACCTTTTGATGATATTCTAATTTACTGGCCAGCACCTGTACTCTACCCCAAAACTCCTGGACAAGTGGACAGGACCACAGTGTGGATGTAATTGTCAGGAATGTTGTTTGAGCAGTGTGTACAGGTGTCAGACGACCCAAACCCCATCCTGAACATCCGATGACCTGTACAGTGTACTGTGTAGAATTTTGTACTGAATTAATTGTAAATTGGGGTGTCTGATCATTTTCAAAGTTTTTAAACAAGTTTGGGACCAGAAGTTCTGGTCAAAGCTGACTGATAGATCCACCTCCCATTTTTCAATAGGGATTGCTATTCTATCGTCTATTTTGGACAGTGTCCTATATACTTTACAGTAGTTTGGGGGGTTTGAGATTATAGAAGTCTAATACCCTTGGTGGTGTTTTTAATTCTACTTTATTGAGCTTAAATTTTTGTTCAAGAACAGATTTAATTTGGTGATATTCTAAAAGCATTTCTTATCTATTCCAAATTGGGAGACTATTGTGTTAAGTCCAGTCCTTTGTATGTGTTCCAGGTATAGGATTCCTTTACTTTTCCAGTCCGGAAGGTTCATCATTTTGTTATTTTGCAAAATATCAGGATTATTCCAGATAGGTGTGCGTCTGCATGGTATTAGTGAAGACTCTCAATTTTAGATACTTCCACCATGCTGCCAGAGATGTAAACCCAAGTTAAATCAGAGAATCAATAAAGGGAAAAAAAAACACTTTTTAGGATTTCTAACCAGAGACTGGACTACACCTATAATGAAATATCATTCACAAACCAGGATTGTTTTTTTTATTTTTACTTCTTTACATGAATCTACAGATATAAAAGAACGGGTGGTCTACGGCTGAACTGAAAACAAGAAAAATAACACATTCTATCATACAACCCAAAGCGCATTTAGTAAAAGGCTAACTCAAGAGACAAAACTTTACATAAGTTAACATTTTGATTAGTTCTTTTTGTACCCTCTAGCCCATCTTTCCTCAAAACCTTTTCCTTAATTTGAATGCAAGCCTAACTTTCTCAGCAGGACTGAGCAGGAGTGGATAGCACATGTAAAACAGAAAATAAAAGAATAGAGATCTTTTGTCATTTCTTAGAATTAAATATGCAGGCTGTACATTAATGAAACAAGTACTTTACTTAACTGATTAAAACAGTCAGACTGGAGACGCCTGAGCAGCGGACACACAACCCCAAAACCTGGCTCGGACCATCTCAAGGGAACACGGAGAACGCGTAGTGTGGATCGGCGGCTTGGAAACTAAAATTCCACCGGACTCAAATTAAATAATTAGAACCTTTATTGGTCATAAAACAAATCCCTTTGAACCCAAGACCACAGAAGAAGAATTTACACAAATCCTGAGGCTGGACCTGTCAGTTTGTCTGGGAATTTAAATTTCACCACGAAGGGACAAAAGGAGCTCCAAACAAGGCCCCCGCGGTCCACGCTCTATCCTATTTGTGCTTACTGGTCAAATGACGTTGACCAGTAAAGGCAAACCCAGCAGGGCAGCATGCTGTGTACAGAACAGCACGCAAACCCAGTGTAAACAAAGACCAGTGACAGCACAAACACTCAAATGTTGCATACACTGTACACACACTAGGCTTGCACTTGGATTTCATCAACTTGGCATGTGTGTCACACAACCACTCTACCTGATTTACAAAGATAATGAGGGAGGGGGAGGTTTCTATAGATTTTTGGACTAGGAAAGTATGAATTCCACATCTGGAGAGTGTTTGTGACCAACCACAACACGTTCAAACGTTCCACAAGTCTGCTAAATTTCATTTAGTCTTTGTTTCGGTTAAAAAAAGAGGTTGGTTTATATGAAGACCATCAAAAGGGAACAAACAGCTGGAGAAAAGAGAGAGTGTGTAGATATGCTGCTTCTCAAGCTGCAAGTGAAGGTCAGTACAGGTCGCTGAGGCCGGCGGTCTTGCGGGCTTTCTGCATGAGAGCACGAAGCTGGAACTGTTTTCTGGACAGAAGGCGGACGTGCTGGAACACATAAGAGAAAAGTCATTAAACAACAGAGAACGGTAAACTGTGAGGATCTTAAATGGTTTTGATCTGGTTACCTTGAGGAAAACTTCCAGATCTATAACGCCCCTGCGGAGAGCTTCTCCCAGGTAGAAGATTGTGTCCTCGATTGCATTTTCTTCAGCGTACAGGTTCAAGATCTGCTTGTAGAGAGGGGCTGTGGGAACAATGACGTCATCGATGTCGTTGTTCTCAGACTGGTTCTCCATTTTCTCCAAAGCTTCACTTAATTCCTCGTCCTTTTTCTTCAGCAGCTCAATGTTCCTGTCAACATCCGCCTGGTGGGAACAACACGGACATGAGGGGTCATGCTAACAGAAACTGGAAGGAAAAAAATGAAGGAGGGTGCAGCAGTGCACATGTGAGAAGCCTGCGAGAGCTTGACCGTGCACACCTGAAGCTAACGACCAATCAGCTGGAGTAGCTACATAGGGGCAGATGCCAACGAAGACGGGGCAGGTTGAAAGTGAGGGACAAGAGTTTGTCATGCTCTGAGACCAGGGACGAGCGCTGAGAGTGCCGATGTCTGAACCGAGAGCGTTAATAAAGAGTTGCTGATCTCCAGCTGGGTTGTTTGAGTGTTGTGTGAACCCCAGTGTAGCTGGCTAGTGCTACAGTGGCGCCCAACGTGGGGGGTCACACAACACTCCCCCATCCGGTACCAAAGTCACTGCCACTATGCTGCAACTAGCCCACAATACATTGGCCCCGCCTCCTCTCGAGGTACTAAAGAGGCGGCAGACAGAATTCATGCGGAAGCTGGTGGCCAAGACCGGTAGAGTGATTCCGGACGACACACCATGGTGCCCTGTCTTCATCCTGGTACCACAGATGCCGCTGGATGATGACCCAGAGGCGTGCCTCAAGGTGGCCGGACAACCTGCCAACATCCAAGCCACAGTGACTCTGGCCACTTGGTGGCCCAGGGGCCAGAGAGGACGCTAGAACGACAGACTCCTGTGTCACACCGACTCTGATCCCCCAATGAGGGTGGGTGAGCCCCATAGAAGGACAGTGTGATTAAACGGCAGCTAGACACAGAGTCTGACCGCCCTTGATGTGGACCTGCTGCTTCGATGCTGGAAATGCGTTGAAATGGGTCACAAGCACCGGGATTGCCAGCTGATGGGAGGAAGACCAAGAGATCCATCTGACCAGGATGGACCGACGGGACACCGGCCCAAAAACTAAAGGATGTGCTGGTCGTCGGAGAAGCACCTAGAAGTGAGGGAGAAGAGTCTGTCATGCTCTGAGACCTGGGACGAGCGCTGAGAGAGGGGAGGTCTGAACTGAGAGCGTTAATAAAGAGTTGTTGAACTCCAGCTGCATCGTGTGAGTGTTGTGTGATCCCTGCTGTCGCTGGTTAGTTATCAGGGTTTACACAGGAAACCTAAAACTTAATTTACTACGTTTTACTACCGCGCGGAAACCCTGGTTATACAGAGGGCACCTCACCACTTCCTGGTCAAGTCTCGAGATCATCTCCTCCAGCTTTTGGTGTCCTTTCTTCAGGTCCTCCTCTGTTCTCTTAAGAGCATCCAACTCTGCCTGAGCTCTGTCCATCTCCTCCTTCATTCTCCAGCGAAGTTTGTCACTCACAGCTGAAATAAGGGACGCACGGATGGTGTCTTCCCCGATGGTGCCATCTCTGCTGGGACCTTAGGAGGAGATGATGAAAAGATTATATGAAACAGTACTGAACTTTTGAACAGCTAGATGAATCCGAAAACCAGATCATTTGCTGGATAGTCTTCATCTCGAGACATCTTGTTGAAGCATTAAAAAAAAATCAAATAAAATTAAATAACAAACAAAACAAATATAAATATAAATATATATTTTATTTATTTATTTATTTATTAGGGGTGGGAATTTAACGTGTTCATTTTGATTAATTAATTGCAGAAGATTTAGTGCATTAAAAAAATTAACGCATTTAATCACAGCTTGCATTCTAGTCAATGCGGAACTTTGTCAGTGCACAATTTTCTGATCGACAGATTAAAGTGATGCACATGTCAGGACGAGAAAAAACCAATGGATCTCTCAGAAGAAAGTGCGTTGTTAGGGCCATTAGAAGGAAAACTTAATTTTAAAATACTACCCAACCTTGGCCTTGATAAAAGCGTGGTCTTGTGCAAACTTTGTAAAAAAGAGTTTGCTTACCATCGAAGCACTTCAACCCTACGGTACCACCTCAGCGCAAGGCATGCTGCAGCTAGCACAGAAAGCGCTAGCTATCCGAGTACAAACAAGCCGTCTCGGCAGCCAAAACTTGGATGAAATGACTGGATTCAGGGCCAAAATAAGTAAGTCTGCGTCAGACAAACTGAAAAATTCTATTGCAGTGGATTGCCCTGGACTGTCGGCCACTATCAGTAGTACAAGATACGGGGTTAGAAAATGTGCTACAGGTAGCCACATGTGATCCAACTTTCCAGCTGCCGTGCCAAAAGTCTATCTCAAATAAAAGTCACCACCTTTATGACACTGAAAAGCAAGGAAAACTAGATGCCTTACAGAAAGCGGACTTTGTGGCTCTTACTGGGGATCACTGGACCTCTGTAAGCAAATCTAATTATGTCGGAGTCACTGCACACACTGTTGTCACAGATGGTACTTGGCATCTAGTCTTTTGCCCTGACTGTGCAGAAGTCGAACACCAGACACTATGCAGAACTCTGTGCTGAGGAGTTTCTCTCTGTGGTGGAGGAATGGGGAATTCAAGAAAAGGTCACCACAATTGGGACTGACAGTGCACGAACCATGGTGGCTGCAGCAAGACACCTCCCATTCCAACACATGCCTTGATTTGCTCATATCTTGCAAAGAGCCATCACAGTTAGCCTTGCCGACAGTGGGTTTAATGACGTATTAGCAAAATGTCGCAAAGTTGTGGGGCACTTTAAACACAGTCCTGCTAATACAGAAGAGCTACACCAGGAGCAAGCAAGACTTGGGAAAGAAAAAGAGGCTCTCATACAAGATGTTTCCACACGGTGGAATTCAACACTGGATATGATATCTCGTCTACTAAACAATCAAGAAGCAGTTTCAGCTAGGGCTGCAACAACGAATCGATAAATTCGATGAAAATCGATTACTAAAAGCGTTGGCAACGAATTGCGTCATCGATTCATTGTGTCGCACAACTCTTCCAAAAGCGGCAGATCAGCGCGAGGGAGAGCCGCAGATCAGCGTGAGGGAGAGCCGGTACCGGCAGATCAGCGCGAGGGAGAGCCGGTACCGGCAGATCAGCGCGAGGGAGAGCCGGTACCGGCAGATCAGCACGAGGGAGAGCCGGTACCGGCAGATCAGCGCGAGGGAGAGCCGCAGATCAGCGCGAGAGAGAGCCGGTACCGGCAGATCAGCGCAAAGGGAGAGCCTGCAGACTTGCGCTGCTGCGAACCGGTTCCGCATTGTTGCACAGCGATCCAGGCAGCTGCTTCCAGCGCACGGTCCATTCTCAAAGTGGCGCAACCAAAAAACTATAATTAGCACACGATCGTTCTTGTCTGCACATGTTCTCTATTTTCTGTCTTATTTGTGCCTGAAGCGCGCTACTGCGGAGCTCATCACCTGTGCTGTGGTGATGTCACCTCACGCAGTATCGAAAACGCGCTCTGCGCTTTGCGGTCAGGAGATCTCTTTGATCTGCTCAAAAGTAACTGATGAGGTGAAAAGGTAAGAATCCAGGCAACAGATTTTCTGGAGAATTATGAGGAGATGCAGGAAGATGAGAGACAGACAGGACAGGAAAATAGTTAAATAAAAACAAGAAAACAAAGTAAAATGTAGGTAGATTTATCTCCACTACACGTTTTTACCAGTAAAAAACAATAAGTTATACACGTCATATTTATACATCTGATACAATTCAGATCACCTTCAAAACTCAGTCACACACCCAGGGCCGTTTCAAGACATTTTGGGGGCCAAGGCAAAATGCCCCCCCCCCCCCCCCCCCCTCCATAACTGGGCTCCCCAGAAGCCTCTGTGTAATCCATACCCTCTCCAGGAGTGTTAGTAAAATCCCCTCAGACATTACTGACATGTTCTAATATTATCAGATGAAAAACTAAATTATCAGACATGCTGTCTCATCAGCTTCTTTTCTAAACTTGCAAAAAGTAACAAAACCATTTGAAAGCCACTATTTGTGGATTCTCTGAAAGTTTCCATGGAGTGTGTGACAACTTATTTTTTCATTGATCCTATCGTCTAATCTCACAGCTGAAACAAGCATCCTTAATAATCTGTGCACAGGAAGCTTACCGATGCTGTAGTAAAACAAAAGGTATAATAATTTATTATTAATAAAACCTTGTTGCAGCACTAAAGCATAAAAATGAGATTTTGCATTAAATATGCAAAATATTTACATATGAATTGTTTTAGAGCCCTTTTATTGGCAGAATCTGATATTAATTTAGTTCTTACAAAAAATGGGTCCCAACGTGGTTTGTGTGGCGTTGCCATAGTGTGACGTCATAGGCACAGATCCCCTGTCCTCTTGTTTGGAAATGGAAATATGGTCACCCTATATTAAACAAACTGTCCACCCGGGCTTTTGCACTGCACAGAGACGCTTCGCTGCCAATGACTTTGAACGTCAGTTGAGAGTTAGTCTCATGCAGACTGACCAATGAAGAGAGGGCCTCAAGTTAAGACCCTCTCCTCATTGGTCAGTCCACACGAGGTGGGTCAAAGGTTACTCTGGGCGGGTTACATGTTGTCAGGCATTCAAGTATTGAGTATATTTACTGCATATTACAGTAAAATATTCTGTATGTGACCACATTATGGTGATCCTTGGGTCGTGATGATGGAGCCCTTGAATATTGTTGCCCAGGGTACAACAAAGTGTTAATCTGGCCCTGGTTCCGCCGTCACATTCCCGCAGAAACTGGTTGATCACACCGGGGCCAGACTACTAGCATGTGGTTTTACAACCACAATGTCCTCGGAAGCAAAAACGCTTTTAAAAGGGAGGGAGGAGTCCTAACTGTTGCTGCAGGCGTGTTGTGTGAGAGTGCAGTTATATACTGGTTAATATATTTTTGGGTTCAGTTGCTTTCATGTGGCCTAATGTGAGTCTATTTGGGATCATTGGAATGATCAGCAGCATTTCTTGATGTGACTTTATGGCAGTTGCCCAGGGCATCATCGCAAGGAGGATGGCATTCATTTACTTTTGTTTTATTTGGTATTTTTTCAGTCATTTTTGGAAATGGTGATCAATTTTGATTAATTCACAGCCTATGTTTAATTACATTTAAAATAAATGTCAACAGATGAGATCAAACAAAACAGATGAGAATTGCCCTTAAGCTGTTTAACTTGGACCAAGCATTTTAGGTCACAGATAGATGTAGCTTAGGGTCTCTGTCTATACACCTTATAAGACAATTTAGGTGATGGCATGTTGTTTTTCTGCTATTGAACTGTTTTCTAATAATGTTGTGTTAAATAAAGTGAAGGAAGGAGAGAAATAACGTTTCCCTAGCAGTTTTTAAAAATGTCCCCATGTAATCCGATTAATCGATTAATCGTGTCGAGACCCCGTCCGATTAATCGATTATCCAAATAATCGTTTGTTGCAGCCCTAGTTTCAGCTGCTTTAAACAAACAGAAACACAAGCTAGTCTTGTTAACTCCATCAGAGCTGGTGAAACGCCAAAGGCTGGCAAGGTTACCATGCAGGTAAATAAAACTTTTCTTAGTTTGTTTTTATTTTATAGTTGACAGTTATTGTCAACTGGGAGGCGAGACTTATGTCTCATGCTCAGTGGTCTTACCTGCTCTCTGCCACCTGCATCACACCATGGCAGTCTCTGATGATGACTCAAACTACATGGTGAAATTGAAGACTGCCTTCACAAATGACTTATCCCAACGTGCAGCTACTCTGAATCATGAATGGCTTAAGATGGCTACTGTGCTCAACCCACGATTCAAGGATTTAAAGTGCATTGCGAAGGGAGAGCGAGAAGAGGTTTGGCGCAGCCTTGAAACCCTACTGCAGGACCAGAGTACAGATGCCTCCACACAGGAGCCAGCAAAAAAAAAAAGAGCCTGCTTCTCACATCATTGTCTTCAGACTCTGATTCAGATGAGGAAATCCTATGCAACAGGGCCCTGAGTTCATACAGAGCAGAATCCACCATCAGCGAAACAGATTGCCCACTGCAGTGGTGGTCCAGTCGAGCTGGGACCCACCCACAGTTGTCTGTTCGGGCCCGCAGGTTCCTTATTAGTCCTGCCACTAAATTTCCAAAATTTACTTGTAGTACTTAAGTTAAATTATACTCAATATTGGCCCGTTCAACTTTGGCCGGGTATATATCTTTTTTTCTTGTGCTACTCTTCTGAAATTAAATGCATTTAATTGCAGTTTTTCAGACTATAATAAAATACATTTATAATTCATGTCTGCATTGCTTAATTATGTCATCCACCAAAATTCATTCAAATCTTTTAAAATTGCTTTAATGGGGTAAGTTTTTCTTTTTGCTATAAACTGCGATTAATCAAGATTAATTAATTACAAAACCTCTAATTAATTAGATTAATTTTTTAATCAAGTCCCAACCCTAATATATATATAATATAAAAGAAAACATTTGCTTGAAGTCAGCACCACAAATGTCAAGAGTTGACCCAGCCCAGTTCTTGTCTTCACTAAAAATAGAAGTCAGCTAAAAGTCTTCCAGGGGCAGCTTTTCACTGCTGCAGGTCTTTGTGTGCAGATACTATCCCCATCTTAAATACAACACCAAAGGGGTGTGCGGAGAAATAGTTCGCGGTGGGGGGGGGGGCAGGGAGACTCAATCCTGTCCTTTGGCCTTTAATACCCCTCACTCTGGTTACAGTGGTGGCCTTTGACTGGTGGCTCAGCGTGCCACTGGAGTCAGTCAGAAGGTGGGAGAGACTGGGGAAAAGGTCAAGTGTCATTTTGACGACTCAAGTCCAAGAGAAGTTCTAGATCGACCCGGAGAAAATAATAGCTTGCTTCGATTTTAAAGATGATTGCAAAGTATTTTTCTCTCAGAACCAACAAGATTGTGTTTTTATACATCTGTGGTTAACTGATCCCTAAAAGAAAGGGGGAGGAGACAGAGACGCTTCAGGACAGTAAAATGCTAAAATTAAACAAATGAATAAAAGTACTTACCCACTGTGGAAACAGGAGGTTGTGTTGGGTAGTGTCCAGGTCCTGCAGCAGCAGGATAAGAGTTTCCTCCTGGGTACTGGTAAGCTGGGTAGACTCTGAAAATATTCAGATGATAAAACTGATTTAAAAATAAAAAGGAAAAAATAAAATAATGCTAAACATAATTGTTCACATGCATTTACTGAGAATTGTATTTTGGTAAAGACAGTAAATGAATGAATGTTCTAGGACTGGTTTGCTGGTAAATCCAGTGTGTATGTCCCAGTTAAGAGAGCGGGTGAAGAACTGACGCTACACATCTTACCCGGGGTTTGGACCTGGACCATAAGCTGAGACTGTAGGCATATAGGAGGCTGAGACGAGAGAAATTAAAAAACAATCAGAATAAAAAACACAAGACCACTCTAAAATAGATTTCTGTTGAGTGTGTATGTATGTGCTGCTGTTGTATGTGAGCGCCACCTGGTGCTGAAGGACATGACTGCTGTACAGAAAGAAAATATGGAACTATTCTGTGACACTGAACTGTTAATAGTGACGCTTCACAGTCATGATGATTATGTATATTCACCGTTCTTCAAACATGGCAACAAAGTCTTGAAATGACTCCATATATAAAAAACCTTCTTAATTCATTAACTGCCGTTGACGACAAAAGTCGTCATTTTAAATCCAACCGTTGGCATTTTTTTTTACTGTGTGGGCATCGGAACGAGCCCCTGCACCGTGAGAACAAACATCCCAGCTCTAAGGCCGATCTTCATCCGCGTACGTCACGTGATCAGGAAGCAGAAAATCCATGTGTTAGGAGATCACTTTGGGCCGCTGCTATAAAGTAAAGTGAGGCATGAACCGGAAAAGCTTCTGCCAATCTCAATTCGATAACGGATTATGAAAAACGGATAACGCTCGAAACACGCAAATTCTTCCTGATGTAAGACGTGAGTCTCCTCTTTGTTTTGTTAGTTTTGACGTTGACATCATCCTAGCGTGCAACGTTCTGTGACCCTTAAAAAAATAGTCAAAAACGCTGGTGGGAAGGGCTTTTCTGATCAGGAAGCGGCTGGCAGTGAATGAGTTATTAAGGTTGAGTTTTCTTACCACGAAGTGCCAAAAATCACCCTGTAAATGTCTCACTCACAATTAGGGGGTCCCGCAGCTGGAAAGGCAGGGAAGGGAGCTTGGGTTGCGGGGCGGGAGAACACCGGAGGCTCCTCTCCAAACACAACAATCATCACTTGAATCAGGCCGTAAAGGTCAGACTGAGGCTGTAAAGGATAAGTTATTGTAACCTGGTCAAAATTTTAGAATATCACATCCCACATTTGTGATGCTTCTATATTTGGTTCTAACTGATCCCAGTGACCCAATCACATGAGCATCTTATTAAAATCTTCATCTTAAATGACCACTTCCTTCACTTCTTTATACATCTAACAAAACTTAAAATTTAACCTACAAGAAATTATTTTTGACACATGTGCATTTCAATAATTGGTCTCAGCTGCCAAGAATTAGGCAGATGAAGCACTTAATACAAAAAGGTAAATCTGTTAAACTGGAGAAGTCTGTGTGTACACAAACTGCTGTTAAAACTTTGCAGATTTCATTCTGCACAAGTTTTTTTTAAATGAAAATAAATAAATAAAATTACTAAATAATCATTACGTTTTAAATGACAATAAACTCTTTTTCTAGAGAAAACAAATGGTGCAAAAGACCAGGAATAAAAGTTTGCTTTGAGACTGAATGTCCACTTTATATTGAAAATCCCTAGCAGGTGTAAATGCACACGCACTTAAAAATAACTGGAAAATGCAATTTCTACATTTTAATATGTACTGACCAAGTATATTGCACTTACATGTTTCCACTCGTGCAGGTAGGGCAAGTAAATCTTGCCGTTGGCATCAATGTGCTTGCCAGTTTTAATCATCATGCTACTAGTTGGTTTAACAAAGCATATGGGAGGGTTGTAGGGGTAAGTGTCCAGCAGCCACAAACACACCGGGATGTTGTAGGTATTACCTAAAGGAACGAAAACACAGTAGTTAGGTGATTTTAGGGATCTACAACACACTTTACCCTGACATGTGATCTTTTTGTGGCATAATTTTATAAAACACACACACACACACACACACACACACACACACACACACACACACACACACACACACCATTTTTACCTCTATAGCTTACAGGGACAGTTCCTGTCAAGCTCATTAGATCTCTGGAAGAGCCGTCATTGAAAACTACAACAAAAGAAAATCCACATCATTATATAAATATAATAAATTGCATATGACCAAAAACAACCTGTATAAAGGTCCTTACCATAAGCATCCATTACTGGCTTCAAGTCCCTGTACTGGGTGACGACATTGAATATTTCTCGGACTGTCAGATCTCTATATTTGTATTGCTGGACAATAAAAATAGAGAAGAATAAAAAAAAATTAAAGCATTTGGCCAGTGATATAATTTAGGTGTATAAAATACTGTTAATGTTTATAATATAAAAATGTCGCCAAAACAAACGTGAAACCCCATGTCTGAGACCCGAAAAACTGATTTAAATATCAAAATATAATAAAATCCTAACTAAAACATCGGCTGAACAATTAATGCAAGTAAAAAATTAAAAATGACACGAATACAAAATAAAAATACATAATAAGTAAATAGACTTTTTCAACATGAACGACGTCTCTTCATCAGACAAAAAAAAGCCCAAAATGTAATGTTGACACTGGTGCTTTAGTGGAGGATTTAGTGGTTCTGTTTCGTGATCTCCTGACTGCCAGTGGCAGTAAACAGAGTGGATGTATCTCCTCGCGCTCTGCGCAGGTCGAGTACTAATATAAACAAAGTCACGCACGTGACACGTAGCGCACCTGGTCGCGAGTCTATAAATTACGCGCTGATAGCTACGTTCGGGTCTTCCGGGATCTTCTCGTCCGAGAAGTTCCGAGTGACCCCTGTGACTGGCAGTCATCCAGGAACTCACAGAACCATAGTTGCACCGTAACTTCCGTTATAGTTAGGGTAACTGGTGAAAATAACAGTATGAAAAAGCAATGCTCAAAAGATGAAAAATGTATCCATCTAAACATAATATCACAAAAACGAGCCTGAAATATTCAATTTTTAACGAATTAAAACACCTAATAAGATTCTTCAAAAGGCAGCTATTCTTAACACTTGTTTCAGGAAACGGCAACTTATTTACATTTGAGCAAACGGTGTCATTACGGTAACTAGCTAACGAGAACCATAAACAAGCTTACCTTCAGTAATTTCTTGAGGTTACCTTCGTTAAATACTGCCATGCTTATTTGACGTATCTTTTACCTGTTCTTGGTATTTTGTGAAGTCACAAAAATATGATTTTTAAGCCAAATTAAGCAAAAACTAAGGCAAACCGACGCTGCTAGTGAGAGTTCAGGGAATGCTAGGCTAAAGCTAGCCCCGATTTGAGACGAAACGAAACAGCGATTCAGGTTCTTTAGATTTATTCCACCTCCGCATAAGTAATATGTATATTTAAGTTACGCGTCAAAACTATATATAGTGGTTATGAATTCTAAACAAATAGAACAGATTACTGTAGTTCTTCAAAGCGCTGGAAACGAAGTATCGTGTGATCTTTAAAGGAAACTTCCGGGATTCTTGGTAACCATTTCCGGTGAAATGGGATTGGCAGAGACGTAAACGTAACCACGGTCGTGGCAGCGGGCCGCCACCTTGGATGGGTCTCAATTCGCCCCCATTCAGAACGGACAAATTGAAAATTAAACCATCTCAGAATGATTCCTAGAGAATTACTCTAGTCAATAATAAAATGCATTCCTGACATCCATCTATGATTCAACACATTTGTTTAAATGATAGTATTTTTAAATATTTTACTTTTTATGTGATCTAGTTTGTGAAAGATTTTAACACTCCATCTTGGTAAATCAGCTGTGAAATTATAATAAAAAATTAAGATTTTATTAAGTCCTATTACAATACAAAAATAGATAGACAGATAATATTAATTATCAAAAAATAATATAAAATACAAAGCTATAAAAAACTATTTTCAAAAGCAATGTCAACATTGGTAGGCAGCCATGAATAATAAAATTATATATATTTTCCATTTGCCAACTGATTTATTTTATTTTTTCAAACATTTTTCACCAAACCAAATGACCAAAAATCTAACTTACAATTTCAACAGAACAGCTGTTTTGAGAACTTTGTGCACATTTGGTTTTGGGAAAAACTATAAAGGGTTATAGTAGGCCATATCTTGTTGTGTATTTTATGTCCAGTCTGCCTTAAAGTCCAAATGACAACAAAACTGACATGTTGGCACAATTTTAATTCTTTATTGGACTGATTGTACAACAAATAAGGATATCAAACAGCTAACGTATATTTACACAAAAAGCCCTTCATCCCTACCAAAGCCATGTAAATGTGTTAATTTTATTTTAACCTCCTAGGGCCCTGTGTCTACATATGTGGACCATAGGTTAAAACACAGACAATTAAAAATGTAACTCCCAAAACAAAAAATAACATCTCCAATTACACACAGACATTACCTGATGAGCTTGTGATTGGTGTCAATGTGCACCATATACTTTGGGCAAGGAACTGTGTACATCCTTCTCACTACACATCCCAGATGTGTCATTCGAGCAAATACACCCGCACTGTCCACACGATGCATGGATGCATACAGTCGGTCCCACTGTACTCTATGTCCCTGGGCAAGTAGAGCACCTCGGACTACCCTGTACCCAGCATCTGGCATGTTGCTCTTAATTACTGTGATAAAATAATCTAGTTCCTCATCACTGCATTTACTGTATGTGGCAGGTACAAATATATAAATAAATATATTATTTTCAGACATCCGTCTAAATAGAGTTGCTCTGGATACACCAAGGAGTTTGGTAATGACACTTGTTGGCAGACCCATTTCCACAAGGTGTTCGAGAGCCTCTCGCAACACCGCCAATCGTTGACGGCCACAAGAACCTCTTTCAACGTGTACTGTTATTAATGTCTTTTGATTATCTCTTTCCTGCTGGATAATAGTATTCAGATCGGAAAGAGCAGAAAGTATATCCTCTCCCTCCCACATCAACAATGTCACCTAGAGCACCTAATAAAACTAAATAATGGTGACAAGCAAACTATAGCCCTTCCCCATCAACAGGTTGCCTCTCCAAGATGCTTGACAGTCGATCGTAAAACCTCTGAAGGATGTCACGCCTCAATGATTCCTAGAGGAAAAAAAAAAACAAAAACAGAACAAACATGAATTGGATAACTGTGGGTAATAGAAATAAAATAACAACTTCCAAATATCTTATGGCACTTTTATTTTTTAACACTCCAGCTATGATAGTTTTAATAAAAAAACATTTTTAAATAAGACCAACTGTAGATTCAAAGGTACATGAAATGATGAAGCAGTATTTCTGTTTATTATGTGCCAGAGCTCATTGGCCAAAATTTAAAGATGTATTTTATTTAAAAAAAAATAATATTTCTTTAACTATCGCACACCACCAGAAAATCTAACATTTATGCACCGGCTCAGCCAGTGTCTGTCTCCTTATTACTGCACACACAGCCTAAAGCAGGGGTGTCAAACTCAAATTCACAATGGGACAAAATTAAAAACTGGGACAAAATTGCGGGCCAAACTCAATATTTGTTGAAAAGTTTATTTACAGATGTCTTGTTATTCAATTGGAAAGAAACTTATTTTTGCATCTGAACACAGAATCTGATATGACCAAATTACACACGAGCAAGTACATTTTAAATAAAACACATCACTCGCTACTTATGTCTCAATTTTTATTTACTCTTTTTACTCCTTACAATGTGTACATATTCAGTATTTAGATTGTTTTACCTTTTGGATATTTTAAGTTTGTCTGTTTTATGTTTTCTTTTAGTTTACTTTTTATTATTATGTTTCACTCTCCTGTTTGGCTTCTGTAATGAACGTTATTGCTGCTGTGACATCACAGTTTCCCCACTGAGGGACAATAAAGGGATTTTCTATTCTATTCTTCAATTTGTAGTCTGTCCAGTTCCCATTTTAGAGTAAGTTGAATCTTTTTTTTACAGGCCAACAACAAAAATAGCAATTATCTTCTATGAAAATATCTCAATTATTAACTTTCATGCTTTGGAGCAGAAAAAGTTCATGACAATTAAATGTTTCAAGCTCAGTTCTCTCCACTCTGATGGTCACCTGTTCCAGCCAGATACCTTCTTTCTAGGCGTTCAAAGTCGGAAACTCGCTGAGTAAACTGGGCGCTTAGAGGAGTATCGTCAGTTGTTTAATGAGGGTAACGCTGCACACGCTGATTCTACTAGCGTGGATGCTAATGATCGTAAACATAAAAGAGGGCTTGCTTCGTCTCGCGCGCTAACGCCGCAAAGCACTGTGGGATTAGTAGTCTTATCAGCAAAATCGCCCGGCGGGCCAGTTTTAATATTATATATTTGATATCTGATTTCGCGGGGCAAATAAAAATAGACCAAGGGCTTGAGTTTGACAACCGTGGCCTAAAAAATGGTACCTAGACACGCTAACTAAACAAATGTTCGCTTGAGTTTAGCTTGATGTTAAACTAGATGAAGAATGGACCAGACTTCACGTAACGTCTGGACTGAATTGAGCATAAAACATTTTACTTGACAATGAAGAACGCTTCTACTCATAATCCTATAACATCGCATCAATTACAACGAGGGAATAAGATAAAACTATTACTCACAGATTGTGACCGGTCCATCCCGCTCTGCCGTGTGAACTGCTATACGCATGCGCACAGCAGATCTGTTCCCGTAACATAAGGAGCCATATGATTGGCTGAAAGCGAACAGCCCTGGCAGAATCATATATTTGATTGACAGATCCATTAGCCAATGGTGGCGTTTGTTGATCTGCGACGTTAGGAGTGTCTCAAAATGCAGGAAGGTTCACAAATGAGAAGTTGTTCTATTTCGTCTAGTCTTAGCCCTTAAGCGAGCTGCTATTGGAAGGATGATCTCCGCATCAGCCAATCATGAAGAGCTTAAATGTACGCCCACCAATAGTGGGCCCCCTCGTGGTATATAACCGCAGTGACCCCACTGCTCGCCTCCTTTTTCTCTTCATGCCAAGCTGAGAGCTTCTTAAAGAGCAAATTTATCCAGAAAGAGCAAGATTATCCGAGAAGACTTACCAGCCATGTCCAGCGACGCCAGACCCTGCCCGACCTGCCAGTCGGGCTCCATTTCCAGCGGAGACCTGCACGCTAAGTGTGAGGTCTGTCTCGGGGCTCACCACGCTGGCCTGGCCTTGACCCCGCAGGCCTCGTGCCCGTTCTGTTCCGCTCTGCCCGTGGCAGAGAAGATTCGCCGGGTCGAGTACTTCACTCCCGCCGCCGACGAAGAATTTCCGGTGGCTGACTCGTACCTGCTGGACAAGGCGTTGGATTTCTTCGACGCCGGTCAGGAGCCGGCTGGCTTCAACCGGCTGGATGACGTCACCGACAGCGAGAACTACGACAAGGCGGCATCCCTCCTAGACATAACGGAGGTCGATGAGCTCCGCCCAGCGGGTCCTTCTGCCCCAGTGGCTTCTCGCTCCTCCCTGCCAGCAGTAAGAGCACTGCTCCAGGAGCTGCCCGCCATCATTTCTGCGGCAGCAGCCCACAAGGGGCTAGCTGTGCCAGAACCAGCCCCGCCTGAAGCGGATGATTTGGCGGGAATCTTCGGGGCAACTCAGACACGCTGTCTAGACCCTATTTGGCCGCGCTTTCCCGCTGCTATGAGCTGCTGGTCTGCCGCCTTCTCCGAGCCTGCCAAGCTCAAGGCGCCAGTCTCCACCTATGCGCCCATCACCAAGGTCGAGGGGTTTTCCGACCAAGGCTGGCCGTCCGTTCCTCCGCTAGAGCCGGACTTGGCCTCGCTGTTTGGCGCCAAGAACCACCTCGCTGGCCCGCGAGCTGTTCCCGCTTCAAAACATGACCAGCTGCTGACGCGGCTCACCGACCGCGCACATCAGTGTGCCTTTCAGACCGGCGCTGCAGGGAATAACATCGCCCTCCTTGCCTTCGGCGTCTCGAGGATGATGGAGGAGCTGGAAGCCCCCGAGGAGTCGAAAGCCGTCATTACTAAGACTGCTGATGCTATCCTCAATTTGTGTGCTGCTGTGCTCACCGGTTCTGCTCGCATCGCTGCCTGGCAGACCCTCATCCAGCGAGCGATCTGGCTCAAGGCCCTGCCCTCCATTCCGGAACATCTGCAAAGGGAGATGCTGGACGGCCCCATCACCACCGATGTTCTGTTTGGTCCCCATCTTAGGGGCGTCATTGAGAGGGCTCAGAAGACGGCCGAACTATCGGCTACGGTACGAGACCTGGTTCACCCTCGGTCAGCCTCGCACTCCGGCCGTTCTGCCAGAGGATGGGACGAACGGCGCGGAAGCTTCAAACGCCCAGCTGCATCGTCCGCTCCACGGAGCCGGCCTCCCGCTTCGGCTCCACATCAGCGGGACCAGCGAGATGGTGGGCAACGGTTCCGGCGGGGCCAGCAGACGCCGTCTTGGCAGTCCCAGGTGCACGAGCCTCGCCGAAAGCAGCCACGGAAGTGACTCTTTGGGGGGAATG